GGAATAACATGTTTAACAGTGAACGTTTGTACCCAGTTTGGTTGCTTTTCAGGACAAGTGAACGCCCCATTCAGGCGTCTTTTTATTAAACTGCTCAGGCCAAGGATCTCCACACATAGTTGCAGATTGCTGTGAATCAATCCTGAAAGAACAGAAGGAATATTTATTTATTTATTTTTTTGGTTGTGACTTTGGGTGTTTTAATCAGTGCAACAATCCTCATGTGTGTGTTGAACAAAGTGGGATTTATTGGTTTTTTTTTTTTCTTTCTCAGAGTTATTTATGTGTCTTTGTTCCATTATTGAACGCACCAGCTTTGCATAACTGGAACGCTTAATATTGTTTTTCACTGCAGCTTTTCACAGTAGGAAAATGCTTTTGATTTGGGATGCAACAAAATAAATCTAAGCTTATGAAAGGGTAAAAAAAAAACCTACAAACAAAATAACAAATCACCTCCATGATAACTGTTTAGATGACTTTTATTGGATAGAAAAATGACCAAAACGCATTGTTAAACAGGCATGGAACACGAATCGTTGTGCCATTTATCATCGTCAGCTTCGACTTTCACAGGGGGCAGAAAGAAAATAACGCATGTCCCTGACTGGTAAAATAAGAGTTAAAAATAGCCAATGATTGACTTTCACTCATTGAACTAGCTTCCTGTCCCCCTCCCACAGCAGATGGTTATCGTGGCAATAAAATGACTGTGGCAGTTGGCCAGTGAGCAGAGAGACAGGTAGCAGGAGAAACTGTGAAACTGCTGTGATAGATAAGAAAAAGAGAGAGAGAGATCGAAATTGAGGAGCTGAGCTATAGTAAGTGTGTGTGTGTGTGTGTGTGTGTGTGTGTGTGTGTGTGTGTGTCAGGATATTAGATCATATCACAGCAGGACGAGTCCTGTCTGATCTCAACATGCAAACATGAACTCCACTGTTAACTTCCTTTCCTTCAGGTCCTGTGTGTGTGTGTGTGTGTGTGTGTGTGTGTGTGTATTTTGTGTTCCATCCTGTTGAGAATCAAATGTCCTCACAAGGACGCACAGATGTACAGGGTGGTGGCATTTTTGGCAAAGGCCTTTGGGGGTTATTTTAAGGTCAGGTGATGAGAGATTCAGGGCACAGAAAAAAAGAGTAAATATGAGTTGCATCATCATCAGCTAGTAGAGGAGAAAAATGTCCAAATTATTTATCGGATTGGACTTCAAATTACTGTCCTAAAAGTTACAAAGCCCATCACTATGTTCTACATGGATCGATTTGGCCGTTTTACGTTGTTACGGATGGCCTTCCTGACACAAACCCAAAGAGGATCTGTGTCTCCAGCTACACTTTGGAGCCATTACATATAAAGATCAAAACTAGTGTGGAAAATGTATACAGCAAAATATTGGCAAACACTTTCCCCACTGGACAAATTGCCAGGCTTTTTAATGATATTTACTAATCTTTAAGACCCCTAAAATATTTGGTGTTATGAATATGAACACAGTGAATAGATCAAAAGAAAGGAGAGGATTTCTGCTTTCATACACAAAGTACCCCCCAAATGTTTTATTGTATATTCATTCATTTGTTTTTAATCATCACCTGATTGTTTCTCATTCATTAAAAAAAGAACAAAACATCAACAGCAACAAAAAAAAAACAGCTTAAAAATGAGAAAAGAGCATTTTTGTCAAAGAATAGCCGAGATACTCAGTGCATTCAGCTTAATTATGCCGTTCTGACATCTCAAAATTCAGCAGTTTGAATCAACTTAAGATATTATATCTGCTTCATTTCTCATGAAATAACAATCGAACAGGCACACCTGGCCATCAAACTGTTTGTCAATTGTCTGATTAATTGTGAGTCCGATTAAATGTGGGACTGTGTCTAAAAATTGCTGTTATGACCAATTTGTTTAGTAAACTCCTCCTTGAATTAAAACTGAAAGTCTGTACTTCAATCACATCTTGATTGTTGGATTTAAAATCCTCAGTGGTGATGTGCAGGTGTTGTTTTCCAAGAAAGAACGCATCCAGAGTAGAAATGCTTCATGCTGTCAATAAGAGACGTCGGTAATGGTAAATGCTAACACTGCTGATGCTAATTTGCTATTCATGATTAATTTTTGGATTGCAGAACTTAAGAAGTATAACCCAAAACTTATGCTTCCATATCCAAGAGTAACGCAAAAACATGTAAAGTTGCGACGCTGTCAACCTTGACTAAAACCTCATTGACATAAATGGCTTTGGTAAATAGTGCACATAGAACTTTTGAGACCTTTTTAGCTCATTTCATGTTCTGAACCATTAAAATTCCACTTCAGAAACCGTCATCTTTCCAGTTTTGTGCTTTTTGTTCAGTGTTTCAATGTTCAGTTTTCTGTGAAACATGAAAGTCTGATGTGTCGCTGCCAAGTTAATGTGCGTTAAGTGCAGAGAAGCAGATCAGGAACACCCAGCGTCTGCAGAGGAGTTATATGGCTGTGACTCACAGAAACATTCGGACGAGGCGTTGCTCTACCGTGTAATTTATTTCACAACAGTGTGTCATCAGGCTGAAGGTCGAAGCTTTGAGTTGTAATGTGGAGGTCCAAGTGAGTCCTCACAAATATAGTAATTGGAGCACATTGAAGGTGCAGCAGCAGAACATATTTGAGCTTTTCCACCCACTCTGTTTACTGAGCTTATACATCACGCTGTGTGTGTGAACACACAAACACACACGTATACACTCGCATGCACAAATTAGGTCGAGTGGGTTGCTGATTAGGCTGTGGTGATTTGGCACAATCACTACAATTTGTGTTATTAATTTAAGAGTTACCACATGTCACACACCTGAGTCAACACAAGCATGCATACATTTTTAACAAAAACGCTGAAAGGTGCAGATCAATGCATGCGCACAAGCGGACACACACATGCACATTCACACTTGCTCACAGTTGACACGATTTACTTGAATCCATTAAAGCTGAATTTACATAATACTGTCTCTGCTTAACTGCCTCTGCAGGGACACACACACACACACACACACACACACACACACACACACGACAGTAGTTTTTGTGTAGTGGCTGCTGCAAGGTCATCCACACTGCAGTATACATGCATGTGTGTGCCTGTGTGTGTGCGCGTGTGTGTTCTTCCCTGCAGGCAGAACACACATTATTGCTCTAATTAAGACACTCTGTCTCCGTATGTGCTGGTCTGGGATCAGCTGTCAGGTGCCAGCTGGCTGTGATATTTATGGTCCGAGGTTTTAACAAAAGCTGCTCTCAGACCAGCTGAAGTCTGCAAGCAAAATTGTTGCTCTAGCTGTTGCTGCTTTGGATGACTGGTGCTCATGTTGCACTGCGATTTTCTGTGATGTTATTCGTCTCAAATTGGTCTCACACTGTTGAATTTGTCATTTCTGAAGACTAAAGGTCATAATTTATACTTGCACTCATACATATACTTGCAGTATATGTGATGTATATTTTTTGATGCTTAATAATGAATAACATAGTGTGGGTGGCCCAAAACTCGTCATATTTTTGACTAAATCTCGCTGTGTGTGTCATGTTCAGCTGGCATTTAGCTAGTAAGAGAGATGTTTAACCTACCACTTTCATCCTCCTCTGTCTGTCCCACTCATAAAGGTATGTTTAAAAGAAAAAGGAAAAAAAGAAACTAGTAATATTAAACTATTGTCACACCTTATTAACTGCATCCAGAGGGAGATGGTGGTTTATACAAGATTAGATTATAGCCAATCTACAACACATGCATTTCATAGTTTTGCAAATATCTAATTACATCGCATTGCAGCAGCAGTTTTATGCAGTCACACATGGATTGAGGAAGAAAGCTGATTTAATTTACGTCGAGCATGGCATGGTTGTTGGTGCCAGACAAACTGGTACGATTATTTCGTAAACTACTGGTCTACTGGGAATTCTCCACACAGCCATCTCTAGTTTACAGAGAAAAAGAGAAAATATTCAGGGAGTGTGTTCAAAAATGCCTTTTTGATGTCAGAGTAGTCAAACTGCTTCGAGCTGATAGGAAGGTAACAGTAACTCAGATATCCACTTGTTACAATCAGGTTATCAAACCTTGAAGCAGATGGACTACAGGAGCAGACGACCACACCTGGTCCTACAAGAACAGGAAATCTTGGCTACAGTTATCACAGCCTCATCAAAATTGGACAACAGAGGGTCAGAAAACCTCGCCTGGTTTGATGAATCATTCAGATGTTAAGATCTGCAGCAACTATGTGATGCTATCATGTCAACACAGACCACAATCTCTGTGAAATGTTCCAGCACGCTGTTGAATGTATGCTGGCTGGCAAAATACTAGCAGGGTGTAACTAATGACTGGTGAGTGTATGTTTGACAAGAAATGGAGAAAGGTGTAAATGCCTCCTTTAACAAAATGCACTCCAACTAAAGTTTCTTTCCGTTTTCTCTCTTTTCTCCTTTGATCTACCTTTTGTGGATTAAGTACAGCTGTATAATATTTGCTGCCTCTGGTTTTAGGAGATTGTGATGGAATATATGTCTTTGATTGTTTCTGCAGTGCTGTTCTCCCCCTTGTTCAGAGCAAATGAATTATATGTTTAAAAAATGTGTAAATGTTTTCTAGGAAGTTTTGTTTTTCTTTCTGCTGCAGCTTGTGGCCTAATTACATCATAACCAGTGTCACAACAAGCATTTACAAGTATTTGAAAAAGAAATAAAAGAAAAGTTCTAGTTAAATGTAACATGTCTAATGTGAATATTATTAGAGGCTTTGAAATCCTAGAAAGAGGACATCGTTTTTTAGCTTTAAATCCAAATACTCTCAGTATGTTTTAATGTGGAAAACCACATTAGATGAAACAGTGCTGCTGTTGGCCCATCTGTTTCAGCTCAGCACTTTAACAGTTTTTTTGTGTGTTTAATGCTGCTTTAAGTCCACATGAATGAAGTCCATTAGAGCTGTTGCTGAAAATGGCTGTATGTGTTTCCAGGTCTGACGACAGAGGGCCTGTATCGCGTCAGTGGGAACAAGACAGACCAGGACAACATTCAGAAACAGTTTGATCAAGGTAAAACACTCATCTGCTCAGACACATGCTTGTAGTAGTGATAGACCTATGAATACATATTTAACTATTAAGAAATCGGAAGAAAGAGCGTGCATAGCTGGATTTTCAAAGCATGGAGGCAAACAGTCTTTATTAGTTTCACAGAATGTGTTTCAAAATTATTTTCCCATAAACTTAAATCGTGCCGTTATAAGAACCTGGGAGTTCTTTGGAAAACATTTCCAGAATCAAGCAGCGCATGTGTGATGTGTGCAATGTATTTAACCCACAGAGAAAACTCCAAAAGACCGATTCCAAACCTGACCACGCAGCAGAAGTGCTTAAAGAGAAACGCATGCAGTCGAAACTGCTCATGAGGGTTGGGGAGCTGCCAAACGGGCTGTTAGTATAAATAAAGTCACCACAGGCAGAAATCACCAGCACATGGTCAGCAGCGTCAGGCATTTTACAGCCAGGTGCTGAAATATGGAGACTTGACTGAGATGAAGCGTGCAATGATTATTGAATCATTTCTGCATTTCTTATTTTTTTCTGCGTTATGTTTCTTCTGGTCCTCTGTTCAGGAGAAGAGCTCGAGCATATTCTTGGTTATTCTATGATTATTTCATATTAAAAAACATTTTTAATATGAAAGATGATGTGTATCTGAGGCTGAGGTGGCTGCCACCATTTTTTTGTTTTGAAATTCCTTCCTTTCCTCACCTCCTTCACTCGACTCCTCCTTTCCCACCCTGTCCTTCCTAAATTCATTTGTGCATTTCCTGTTGTTTATATCCCTCCGTTGCTCAATGCTCTCCATTTCCTTCAAGTGTTTCTAGCTCAGCGTGTTTGTCAGCATGCGTTCAGATTCACTGTGACAGCTGTCGTGTTACCTTAGGGCTCTGTCCTCTTTCTCACCGTTTCTCCTCCCTCCAAATGTCATTTGGCTGTTGCCGAGTGTCATAACAGCAAGTAATACGCATTTTTCTTTCTCCACGTATTCCTTTGAACTGTCATTACAGAGTATTTTTACCCTGGCTTAATGAGAAAGCTGATCGATTTGGACCCAACCCACTTTTTTTTCTCCTCTGATTTGTGAATGAAACAGAAAGTAAAACGTGATGGAGCTGAAGCATCCATTCTCCCTCATCAGAAATAATAGAGCAAGAAAAAGCTTTCATGAGCTGGCTGTGTATTCTGTTCCAGTCCCGCTGCTCCATCAGAGAAACACTCGGCCCTCTGTGCCTCCAGACACACTCATGATAACCTCTGTTAGCTGTGATCAGAGAGGAGCTCTGTTCTCCTGCTCAGACACAAAAACTGAGCTGTGGGCCTCACTGCTGCATCACCACAACTGACAGGCTCTTTAATATCCTTTCAAACTGAAACATTGACCCAGCTAAATCCTGTTTGACTCGTATGTGAGGACACGAGTGCAGGTTATTGGTCCCGGATCCACAAATCTGCTCCACACTCAGGCTTAACATGCATATAACAGGCTTATACATCTGTGTGGCTGCAAGTGTCTCTGGGATGTAATTTTGCCATCTGTTCCCCCTAACCATTGAATATGTAGCCATAGATGTCCAGATGACCTCCCTCCATTTCAAACGATGGTGAATCTAGTCCAGAAAAGCAGTTCGTATCGAGTTTGTGTCATTGCTAAGCGCTGAGCTTAAAAGCTGAGTGTTCAAAGGAAGGATACTTTGGTTAACTAATAACAAGCTGCTAGCACGTTTTGTTTTTTAGCGTTCTTTAACAGACGCCGAAACATGAACCATAGCCAGCTCCTCTGAAATACTCCAAATAAATGCCTCTCATTGTCTTCTACCCATTTGTCACATAACATGTTACATATTTATTTTCATGCTTTGCAGTGCAGAAGTATGCTACATATAATTTGTATTTGAAGTGACTTACTAAAATGTTATTGCACGAATAGTCTTTTGTTAAAGCAAAAACACCAATACACCTTTTCAGGTTCATATATGTACACTGGTAATGTTGTGCTTACCCGAGACTGTGGGATTGATCTTGAGCAGCTTGCAATGGTGACACGTGAAGTATCCATTAGCAACGTCTGGCAGACGGGTACTAAGGTCAACTAATCTCAGGCGATTGAATCAACAACCAGTTCCACTTAAAAAAATAAAGTAATGACATTGACTGACAAATGACAGGGTGATAAATACAGGTTATCCATAGTCTTACCTCAGCAATCAGTCGGTCGCTACTATACATTCCATACAGATGCTACCATGCAGTCCCTCTACCACTTTTTAAATGACAATATTCTAATAGGTTATAATGGATTTTTACTCCAGTGATGCCAGATACTGTTGTTGTTTTTGCTCATAATCATGAACAGTTTCCCTTCCAGAAAAACAACAAGTTATGCCACACGTGAATAAATTTGAATGACATTACACTCGGGGGAACTAGATCAGAATATTATAATAAGATATTGTCAGACATGCATATTTAAATGACATTGCATTGTATATGGGGATCTTTGCTGTTTCCCTTTATTGTGTAGAAAAGATCAAATGGGAAGGATGTGATTTATACTTTCTAAGAACAGGGCTGGAGAACTGTGTTGGAAGTTTTCTGTGCAGAAAAATGTAATTTGATGCTACAACAGCAAGGAAAAGAACAAATGTGCTGAGCACAGTGACAAAGGGTTTAAGGAGAGTGCTTTAACTGTTTGTGAGGTCCTAAAGGGAGCCTTTAGAGGACAGTGAGTTTGAACGTATTAACCAGAAGCTGCGTGTGGGTGGAGTTGTTTTGCTGTTTTCCTGTTTGTGATGCAGAGGATGAAACGAATGCTACAGAACAAGCTTCAGAAACAGAGTGACCTTGCGAATCTGCTGTTGAGCCTCTTTTCTCTCTCTCCCTCCCTCTCCCTGTAGATCACAGTATTGACTTTGTGGCGATGGATGTGGCGGTGAATGCCGTTGCTGGAGCGCTGAAGGCTTTCTTTGCTGACCTGCCCGATCCGCTGATCCCCTACAGCCTGCACCCAGAGCTGGTGGAGGCCGCAAGTAAGAATGAACACACACCCGAGTCATGAACTGTAATTTTGTAAGCCCTGATAGCAAAAACACCCAGACAGACACATTAAAAACTTGGTGCAACTTTTAAGTTAAAGGAATTGTTAAACACGTAGGAAATGATGTAATTATGTTAAACAGAGTCAAAACAGTGAATGGAGGGTTAGGTTCACTGGGCGGCAGCATGCTGGAATATTCCTTTACCCGCTTACAACTCAAATGTGATACATTAGAGTAAAATGACACCATAGCCTCAGAATAAACAAGAAGCACTCTACCTACACCCCTAAAAAGTTTGATCAGCATTGCTTCAAACTTTTGAGTTATTGTGCTATTGCGAATAACATAAAGTCGTACCACGATAAAGGCACATGCATGCAGCTAAAAAATGAAGAAGTTAAGAGGAGACTGGAGAAACACCCTTTAACCATGTAATGAGTGTTGATGTTGCATAGTTTTCCCACCAGAGGCCTGCAGAATTAAATTGCCAAATATCAGTATCGGCCTTAACAGTCCTCAGTCCAATCAGTCAGGCTCTACTTTTAACCTCTTGTCTGCTGTAGCAGCTGGCCTTAATGCTGCAGAAGTTTAGTTGTGTTTCCACATGCTCAGAGCTTTGAGTCACATCATTCACTTTTAAGAGGCTTTTTCAGGCCTAGGATGCTGTCAGACATCCTGCGTATGTGTGTGTGTGTGTCGCTTGTGTGTCTATAATGCTGAAACCATCAGGCTGACTCCAGCAGATTAGCGAGCCAAAATTAAACACAAGGAGAACTGTAAAAAGTCTCAGACTGACAGAAGAAGAAATCTGGAGGGTGGTGCTGGTTTTTCTTCTCTAGAAAATGACTCGTATAGAGCAGGAACCAGGGCTTTATATACAAATTAATGACCAGGAAAATAACTGATAGTTGGTAAAGGAATCATTTAAATCAGCTCTTCTTCTCTGACTTTCTCTTTCTATCTTTTTGCTCCTTACGTGACTAAGGTCTAGTTTGAGGTGCCTCTTTCCTGTCTGTTTCTTTAAACTTGGAGCAGTTAAACACGAGGGTAACCAACTTGTCGAGCAGGTTTGACACCAGTGTACTTATCCTGGAGCCTGAATCAGGCTTTTGTTGTTGCTGGTTTCAGGTCATGTTGAATAGATGTGATAACAGAGTGAATCAAGACACATGGAAAAGTTTCAAACATTGTAATCAGAGAAGGAAAAAAGAGACTGTGAACATAAACAATGCCATACAATACAAATACCTGTAAATAAGCACTTAGCCTTTGCAGTTTTGCCTGGATCAGCTTCAAACTGCTGCACTAATTTCTCATGTAATGGAAACTGTGTTAGTTTTTCTAGTCAGTTCTAAAGTTGATTTTGGCTTTCTGCCTTTTCTGTTCAGCATATTTTTAATAATCCTTTTATTTATTTTCATTCCGTGACAACAATAACAACGACAATAGCTTCCTGTAGCAGCAGCAGGGTCTTTTCCCGATGGGGATCATCAAAGCTTCGCCTAAACACATGTGCACACTGAGCTTTATCGCTTTATTGAACCAAATACATTGTGAGATGCTGTCAGGCTGATATATATTTAATAAAAGCTGGAGTCGGTCGTTATATCGGTCCCGTGGTGTACTGTGTCGAGCTGTGACTGCATTCATTTAACGACCTTTAACCTCTTCCAGCCATTAGAGGGTCAAAGGCTCCCGTTGGCTCCTCGTTAGGATGATTGATGGCGTGCAGGATGAATAAATCTGTGCATTGGTACACGTTGGCCTTTACGTTTGTGTCTACAAATATAAATGGCGTCCTGCTGGTCCTGGAATGTCTGGAATATCCTGGAGAATATTCCAGATAGGACAGGCAGGAGTTTTGTTGAAGCGGCCTTGTTATGACAATCCAAAGGTAGAAGCTCTTATTTCACATCTGCTCTTTAAATATTTAATAAGTAAGTGGAGCGTTTCAGCTCCATTGAACATTTGCCGGCAGGAAAGTGATGCTTTCCCTGGAGAGGCTGTGGAATACTGAAGAATTTAACAGACAAATTACCTTCTAGGAATATAGCAGGATCTTTCTTGTTACTTGGTAATGTTTTGTTTTTTGTTTTTTCCCCGATCAAATTTAACATTTAACTAAACCAAATAAGGGTCTGATGCTAAATCTGATTACTTTTTTTTGTTTTTAAAGTCACACTTTCCCAGACTGTTCTCTTTTAACGACGCAGTCAAGAATCCAAGGATATGCATCATGTGGCGAACAAACACACTGTGTCTTTCCACTTAGGAATTTTGTGGGAAAAGGCGAAGAAGCATCCTGAAGCCTAATGTTTAAGGCATACAGATGTTCTGCGTAGTTGTGTGTTCCAGCTGAGGACCTGTGCTATACGTCATCCCCTTTTCTCTTCCTCCCGTCTACCCAAATGATTTATCAACATTTCCTCCTGCTGTGCAGAAGGGAAGTTCATTTGTATCCAGAGTTCTCAGGTTCTTCCTCTTTGGCATCCTATCAAAGAGTTTTTAGAAAATCACCATCGTGCTAATGAAACATTTTTTCACAAGTCCCTTTAATTGCAGTTTAATTTACTCAATAATAATAATAAATACTCTTGTTTGACATATTGTCAGAAAAACAGAAGATAAGCTTATTGCCTTACACTTTACGGTAATGATGCCTGATGATGAGTACAGTCGTACTCCAAAGGCATGTTGTGATCCAGGGGAAGTCTTACAGCCTCACTAACATACACCCCTCAGGCTTCATATAGCACAGCCCTCGCAGTCTTATCAGTCTCTAAACTGTCATACGTTCTCAACTGATTGGTCTTATACTTGGTTATATAATAGCAATAATAATTTGTCTCTGTTTCTTTGAATTGCCATTGTTAATGACATGTCTTTGCAGACGAATCAGTTTGGCAGCTCTGTGGCGTGAACTTATCAGGTATCAGACAAATTGCTGATATTTGATTTCCTAATAGCAAATGAATCCGTAGATGCTTGTGCAGCTAATCAGTCTACTGTGACTGATCTTTTCAACTTTGCTGAAGTCTGAAAGACAAAAAATGAGGCGGAATCAGAAGAAGGAATTGATTGATACTGTGGAAAGTTCAAGAAATTCTTTCAAAAAGGAGGCTGTGGTTTGAAATTGCTTAAATTGCACATTGATCTAATAAATAACTGTGTGGTCCCTGCTGCATCTGATGATAAGCTTCTGTGACAGCTATGGTTAGTCATCAAACCTGTCTGGGTAGTGAGACATAACATCTTGCAACAAATAATAGTTCAAGCAGGTGACAGTGAAGAATTATTGAACACATGAGAGGGAAACTGCTGCTGCCCAGTGTGCTCTGTGCCTCAGTTATGATTACTGGGTCTTTAATCAGATGCTGTGTTTTTTTTTTTTTGTCTCCCCTGAAATCTGAACAGTTGAGAACAAATGTTTGTTTTCCTAATCTGCAAAGGCTGATCTGTTTTGTCTTAACCAGTGCACAGTCAGACCTTATACAGGGAAGGCTAGTTTTATTTCTGCCCACAAGGTTTAGTGTTGTTGTGTGTGTGGTTGCCGTGTGTATTGTTTGTGCACAGCGTGGGAGCTGCTTTTGGCAGCGTTTCAGCCTTTTGTTTTCCATGGAGTATAATTTCCTTTCCCAAGAGAGACTGTGTGTAAAATGTAAAACGCTCTGTGTCTTTTCTCCCTGTGTGTGTGTGTGTGTGTGTGTGTGTGTGTGTGTGTGTGTGTGTGTGTGTTAGAAATCATGGACTACATGGAGCGTCTGCAGGCACTGCGGGAGATTGTGAAGAAGTTTCCTCCCGTCAACTACCAGGTCTTCAAATACATCATCACACACCTCAACAGGTAAAAATGAAAGGCAACACACACACACACACACACACGCGCGCACAGAGTACATTCCCTCTTGTGTGTTTCTTTATCCATGTTTTTTTTAAGTGAAATGCTTGCAAGCTTCAAAGTCAAAATGGCTGTATACCCGTGGTGACAGTGAACGCATCGCTTAAACTTGAAAAGAGCCGCTTGCAGATATCATTTTAACTTCCTTTGAGTTGAGACCACAGCTGTACTTTGTAACTGCTGCAGCGACTGAATGCTAATTATTTCTTCGCAAATGTCTGCATAGTTTGCAGATATAGAATGAGTATAAATCACTCTGAAACATCAAGCAAAGTCTGATTTTGTGCCAAATATCGATCATGACTGACAGGACATGGTCGGAGATGACATCTAGTGAACGGCAGCGCTACAGTTAATGGATAAAACACAGGAGTGAAATGTTTGTCTTCTTCTCTGGTTCTGTGTTAGTTTAGTTGACATCCAGTGATCATTACTTAATTTGTTAGCTTTCACTGATAGAGCAAGCAGCCCTGTTAATGTAGAGACAGCAGCAACATTTCTCTCAGAGCTTTGAGGTTCATTGGTCGTCATGCAAGAGGATTTTTGTATTTTTAGAGCTTCTTTACGGTTTGGTGTTTGTGGGCAAGACTTAAAAAAAAATAGAAGCCAAAACACAAGTTTCAAAGGGTCAGAGTCATATGAGAGGACCTGAACACATTTGAATTAAACAGCAGTGTTATCCTGTGAGATAAATAAAGAGGGAAAATGTCCGACATGAAATGAAATTCTAAACAACGCCCATGACTAATATAAGAGGCGGACAAGGTGACCTAACATTAAGCGAGACATGAGATGAGAGACTATTACAGCCTGTAGCTGCAACACAGGGTGATGGTGAACAGACACAGACTGCAGAGCAGCTTCAACAGGGACGGTTTTTCTACCAAGTGCTAAAATGAAGTCACTCTGAAGCTGGGCAACGGCATGCAAATCCGAAAAATTCAGTCGGGGAGGACACAAGTTGTGATGAATTGACAGTTTCTGCGACACAGATGGTTGAAAATTAAAAAAAGAGAAAATAAAGAACATGAAATTCACACAACATGAAGCAAAAGCTGCAAATAAGACATTAAACTAGGAATGCATCGATAAGTGCAGACATTCCTCATGCTGATCGATGTCGTCACTCCACCACAGAATGTGGCTTTTATCCATGTCTCCAGCACCGTTCGCTGCACAGCACTAGTAAACCAGCAAATAATATCTTGAAGTTTAAAGGAACACTTCAGCTTAATGGAACAGCAGCTGTCAAAGTTTGAAACACACTAAGAAAGAAGTCGTTCTCTTAATAAGCACCGAGCTCCACTGACAAAAACAGTCCCTCAGAAAAGTGGGTGTTCACAGCTGTACATTTCTCTGCTCCTGTGCCATTCGGGGCTCCTGTCAGCTTGGGCGCACGCCTGCTGCCATTTGCTGAAGATAGCACACTGACAGTGAGCGTGTACCTCACGTAACCCCACTTCAAAGGAACCAGACTATCCCCTAAATGAGTGAAAAGCAGTGAAACGGCATAAATCATGTTAGAACGGTCTTACTAAATTTACTGAATATTGCAATAGCTCCTCACTAAGTAACTGAATACATTTAAATGTGATATAAGAGTCCCACATTGTTCCCACTTTATAGAGAATATAGCGATGTATGTGTTAATATCATGGAGTGCTAAAATCCCAATGCATGGTTTTTGGTTCGTTTGCACACAGTAACCAAGCAGAGTATGACAACTTTAAGACAAACCGTTCTGCTTTTCCTTCTTTCCTGTCATCTATATGCTGTTTCAAACAAGCTCCACCCACTTATTGTTTAAACTTTCTGTTTATGAGCAGCAGTCAGTCGGAAGGAAGTTGGCTATTTAATTAATAAGGATTATTTTGAACTGTGAATCATGCTAAGCCACTCCAGAGTCCACGAATAAAAATATGGAGCCTGAAATGAACATCACGAGTCCACTTTAACTGACAAACCTTTATCTGCTTTCTTATGTTTTTAGCAGTTAAAGAATAAATAAAAAGTCAAGGTATTTTTCATTTCCTTACGTGCTGTCACCTTAGACCACCTGTTTTCTGGAGCTGTTGTTTCCAGTGTTGATTTAACTTTGAACCTTTTTATTTCCCCGCAGAGTGAGCCAGCATAGCAAAACAACCCTGATGACAGCCGACAATCTGTCCATCTGCTTCTGGCCCACGCTCATGCGGCCCGACTTCGAGAACAAGGACACGCTGTCGACCACCAAGCTGAACCAGGCCGTCATCGAGTCCTTCATTGTACAGAGCGACTACTTCTTCCACGGCGGCGAGGTGGCCGAGAGCTCCAGCAGCGAAGGGACACCGCCCCCGCACTGCCACAACATGGTGGAGGCCCTGCTGCCGCTGCAGCTGCCGCCCCCCCTGCAGCCACAGCAGATCCAGCACACCTTGCCCCCTGACCCGCTCATATAAGAGCCAGAGGAGCATGCTGGGAAGTGAAGTGGAGGGTGGTTGTTTGCCCGCGCTGCCAGCCGCTTACGGCCGACAATTGCAGGCCATCCTCTGCTCTACAAATAGCTGGCGGGCTCATAAAAATGGAAAATAAAACAACCTGGTTGCTGATTTTCGGGGGATTCATCAGCTGCTGTTTGTCATCGACTTGGAGGTGAATGAGCTTTGGGGGTTTAGAGGCGCATCGACCATTTGTTGGATCAAACCTAATCTGTGAGACCTGCTCATCCTGTGAGGAAAATCCTGGATTAGAGAATTACAATCGCACGTCACCTTTTAGAACTAATTTTTGTATCTGACTGCCCCCCCTTCATGATACCGAAGCTGAAAACCGCGAATGAACCGCTTTGATTTGGCACATAGTGACAACACTAATCGTTCCACAGGGTCAGACACAGACTCTTGGGATCCCAGGACACACTCCTACCTTTAACCCAGACGGAATAGCACATTGGGGGCCAGAAGTCCCTATTAAGCACCGCCCTCCTCATCCCCGCTCCGAGATAAGAGAAAAGGGAAGTTGAATCCCTGCGACTGCAACTCAAATGTGAAATTATCTGATACGGACTGATTGGCGGACTCATTAGCTGACTTGACCGGCTACCTGACTAACACACATGCTGACTGTGAGGATTTCAGTCTTCCTGCAGGTTTCAGCACAGGAAAACATTTCTTCTTCTTTTGTTTGACCTTTGTTCATAAGAAGGAAGGAGGGATCAACAAGACACTAAAGGTCAAACACACTCATGGGCGCGAGATGAAGTCAAAGCCTTGTAGAAGAGCTTTTCAGTTTCGGTGAGGTGGGAGATGGGTGCGCTCTCACTTTTAAATCCTAAATGACAAAAAAAAGAAAGGAAAAAAAAGAAAGAACCCCCTTCCAGCTACATGAACTTTGACCCTCGTCAAGGACAGCACATGCACGATTTGTGTCAAAAGTCCACATGCCAATTTCATGTCTGTTTGCTTAGCTCTTTTTTTCTTTCCATTCTTTTCATTTTTTTAAAAAACAAAAATATTTTTTGTAACGTCAGATATCGACCCAGCTTGTGTGTTTGTGTGTGATGATGCTGATGATGTGTGTGATGGTGTATCTGTGTGAACTGACCTGTGGTTTGTATCGCAGCCACTTTGTACCTTCCCATCATGGGGAAGGAGGGGATTCAGAAGGGAAAAAGAAACGGAGAATGTGGACTTTTGGATTTGTGATGCTCCATGTGAGCGAGTCGTCACACTAACTGTTCCTGAGTGTCTCCATAGAGCCTCGAACTGTTAATGCACCGCCTCTCAATCGGAAGGGACGGCAACCCCTCGACGATGGCACATGAATAAGGAAACCACTACGTTGCGATGCATTCTGGACCTGTTTGGTTCAAGGAGGCGTCTTCCATGTTGGGCTTACTTCCTAGAGGATGCTTTACATCTTTTCATTTCCATTTTTTTTTCATTCTCCCGTTTCTGTTGGTTTGTTGAAATCAAAAGTTTGCATGTCTCTGTTTTTGCCACTTAGTGAAAAAAAAAAGAGCTTTAACGTTAAAAAAAAAAGAAAGAAATGAAACTAAATGAGCTCCTGTTCAGATTTGCATTGTTTTATCTGAATCTCTTTGGGTTAACGGGAACGTTTCAGAAAACATTTTCGGGTTTTTTTGGCATTTGTTCTTTTTCCGCCGTGCAAGAAATCAACACTTAATATCATATTTTTGGTTATATAGTTTTCCCTAAATAGAGGAAAGAAGTATATATAAGTATATATAAATATATAAAAAAAATATCAGCAGCAGAAGTTGCTGATTTAGTGAACTACCACGGGGTACTGGACTATAATCTGTCAGAAGCTATAATCATATTTCTTTGTGGTTTGGGTGGTGTGTGAGTGTGAATGAGAGAGTGAGCGTGTGTGTTTACACAGGGGATGGGAGTGGGTTTGATAACAGATGGTTAGTTTTGAACTCCTCTTTGACCTGTCCAACACACAAATAAAAATCTCATTGCTTTCTTCGTCTGCGGCACACTGAGGGAGACGGAGGCACATAAATGAAGCCTCTCGTGCTGAACATAAAGCCCCGTAGAGGATATCTAACTCCTTATTTCTGGTCTTCTGTCCATCTGGATCCAAGTTCTCCTGTCTGCTGTGTAATAATCATTTTTAAGCTTTTCCATGAGCTGAAACGTACAAGTTGGTAACAATTTGGAATAAAATTCTCATGAAGCGAACAATTACATTTTAAAGGTATATATTGCACTTTTTGTAATTAAAATATGCCAATAAAATAATGCTACGTACTACATAATAGTTACAGTATTTAATAAATAACTATTTTTGTAGTCGGGGGGGACTAAATCTGAATGCATCCATTACTGTTGATGTGTTTGAAACAATAAAGAAAATAGCCACACTTTTAATCTGCACATGCCAGCAAAGTCAGAAATATATGTGTGCAGGTCATTTCAATTTTTATAGAATATAGTTGTGTCTTATAAACAGTAAGTAAATATTAATTTGGTTTATTTGGAAATTTAATTGGCACCAAAAACAACATCTTTCCAGGTCGTGTCCTAAATCAGCCCCTAAAATGCTTCTGTATTCTGTAATTATAAAGTCTATATTAATGGTACTCTCAATTACTTTATGTATTTATACAAAATAATATGTAAATATTTGTGTTGAGTGTGTTTAAAAAGCTAGCCAGATGTGTTATTTGTGGTCGCTGTCTGTGAGGATGACAGATACAGGTTCAAGGCAGGTTAAACTTCCTGTTAATGGTGCAGCACGTGGATTCAGATGGACAGAAACACATTTTAGGCAGCAGAAATAACCTCGGTTTAAAAGCAGCAGCCAAAAACTGTCAGTGAGCTTGACGAGCAGACACACAGTGAATGTCGGTGTAGGTACTGAACTGAAAATGTCTATTTTTAAAGGGTTTTACTGTGGTGAACCTGAGACTTCCACTAAAATGTCCTGCTCGCGTGCAGCTGCTGTGCTCCTCATCATTTTTAATTCACTTTTAATAAACTTTTTCTCTTTTTTTCCCCATTTTGAAGAACCTTTTAAAAAGTACTTTCATTTATAATTTAACCCACTTTTATGAACTTCCTCTCTGCACTTTCTGCTGCCTTCTCCAGCGCTACAGCCAAGCATTATCCCTCAGTGAATGTCAGCATTGAGAGACGAATCAGTGATATAATGTAGTTTTGTCCTGTTTTGGACGCCCGTCTCCTTCTGTGTCCTCGTTGCACTCTTTTCAGACCTCATAATGGCTCACTGCTTTGTAAAGCAAGTCTTGTTATTTTTCAGTCGGTGCTCAAAAAACTGGTCTGTTAGACATTAAAAATGTCATGTTTTTAATTGTGGACAATTATGCAATTAACAGAACCAACTTAGATGATTGGTTTCGCATATGACCTTGAGATAAAACAAGTTTTACTGAGGGGAAAGGAATGGAGCCAAACGCCTGTCTAACCTCACATCGCAGGTCTGATTGAGAGGGCACTTTGAAGGAGACCTGCATCTATAATGGGGCAAATATTTTCTTCTGAGATGTGAGCGATGAGGTCAAAGCTGTGCTAAAGGAAGAAAATATTCAGAGCGGAAGCCAAACCCTTACTTTACAGATTTTATGATTTTGGACAGAGGAGGATTTTGAAGGGCACATTGAAGCAAGTGAATAAGTGAGGCTGGGAGAGAGTGAGAGTGTTTTTCCTGGGGGGCAGGGCTGAGGGAGGGTGGGGTTCAGCTGCTAGATGATATAAGACTAAGTTCGTCTGTAGTTTTCCATCAATCAATCGACTCTTCTTTTAATTTACCTTTTTTTCCCCAATAAGATCTGCCTTTATCCAATCACACCGGTGTACAAACCAACTGACTTTTAACATCCGCTGTATTATAGTAAATAAAAATGATTTTCAGAAATGGAAAAACTCTAAAAGATCTTTTTTTTTCTTTGTTTGCTCTCCATAATGTTTCCAAATAAAGATTCTTTTTTCCAAAGTTGTCAATCTTTGTTTATATTTCTGTATATTTTTATAGTCTTATAATAAAAACCAAAACGTGACATGTAAGTGTTTTAATAAGGTTTCTTATCGTAGGAGTCGAAGCAGAAACGAAATGGGTGCTGGCATTTCCAGCACCTTTTAAAAATTTATTTATTTTTTTAAATAAGACAACGGCTTAAATGAAGTACAAGTAAATTAACCCTGTACTTCATAAAGTGTGTTTGTGTATTCATTTGCATTGTGACTGGTCACAACCACGCTCTTATTCTGTGATGGTGTTCTGGTGAAGGTGTTTTAAATTTAGCAGAAATAACAATTAGCAGCGGTGCAACGTAATGACTAAATTCCGCCTCACAATTTAAGCGGTGGGTTAAATTACAAAAAATATCTTTTACAAAAAGTAGATATTTATTCTGTAATTCCATAACAAACTGTAGCTTAGCTTCAGCATGACTTATATGCAGGAAAAAATGATAGTGAAAGAATTAGCTGATGGCAGTGATAAATGTTGAGCTTTTATCATTAATAATTGATTAAAAAAGTTCTTATGGAATATAGAAATCAAATTATTGAAGTGTAATTTGGGTAGAATACTTTTCGTATTTTTGTTAACGTTTTTTTTTTCCTTTCGGTCTTCATGCTAAGCTAGGCTAAACCTACACTGACCTATCTCACAGATAAATATATAAGCTTTGAATAAACCTGTCAACTACAATGAAGCTAATGCAGCTGAACTCCCTTGTTACAGTACTTGTCAGATTAGGGTTATCTATAGTAAATGTGATGTCCCTTTAAGTAAAACAAGCAATTAAACATTAAACTTGGGGTTCCCAGGTAAACCATAAACAAAGCAAAACAAACAAACAAAGGCCTAAAGAATTGAATACAACTGTATCAGAATGGTTTAACTAACGACTAACCATTACTGGACCATCAAATAATAATAAAAATAATAGTGTGTCTGAAGGCTGAGGGCTTTGTGTACTTTATGTTTTGCTGATATATATTTTTTTGTATATTCAGTAGAAATTTTGAATTCAGGTCCTTGACATGATGTTTTAACAGGAATATATACTAGTACTTAATCAATGAATTATTCTCCAACCTCTTAAGCATTAGTCCAAAACCGTCCCTCCAAACAATGTTCTTATTAGGCTGCAGGGTTACCCTTATTTACTCTTAGATTATCAAACAAAATCTGAACGTTGTACTTGACAAAGTTGGAACTTTTTATGAGACATCCTGGTTTGGAATTGAGTGAAAGGAACTTTCTTGAAATCTAATGGAGTTAAAGTAAACAGTAGCATAAAATGAAAGCACATATAAAATTGTTACAGTGCTTAAACATGCCTTTAATAATTCCTTTTTTTTGTTTGTTTTGTTTGGTCTTCATTTTTTTTTTTTTTTTAATTTTCCAACATCAGTGATAAAACTCATGATATTTATTAGGTCACAAAAATGAAATTCGCTTTACCGGTTACAACTCTTGCTTCCACCAACAGAATGTAAAGTGCTCCATCTGGTGGTATAAACCTTTACACATCAGCATCTTCCCTTACTGAAAACACATGCTCATAAAAAAAATCATGTAAAACCTCAATAACGATCAGCATCGTGCCTTAAATATCAGCAGCTGTGCTTACTGACAAACAGAACACGACTTAATGAATTGACTTAAGTGTGTCAATTATCATGACGAATAAATTATGGATCATATTTCTTTCTTTTATACTCAGTTTAAAGTCACAGGAAATTGGATTATTTTTTGTCATTAAAAATAAAATTATATCAATTGTTCCATTAATTCATTACATCAATGTTGAGTGCTTGATTTGCTGCAGCTATTAATCATATGATTAATACT